AATGTCAAAATTCAAACTTTTCTTCCAGTCCTTTAACATCTGTGAATAGCAATTTAAAATCAACTCATCATTTATTCCTGGTTATATGATGCCAGTTAAATGAGGGAACAATTCCAATGCGAACTATTTGGTGGTAGTTTGAACTTCACTCCTGTGTTACTCTAGACTAGGACTCCACTAGTAATCTCACTTTCTTCTCAATATCTTTTCTGTTTATATGTTTATATACATAGACTTTCTAATAGTTTCTGGTGTATATACTTAAAAGTTCATATATGAACACAAAAATTTAAAAATGAACTTTTCATGCTTGCAAATAATGCCACGAATTTTATACAACTCTCAACTTTAAAAGCACTTTGATGAATGTCATCTATAATTTATATTCACAATGACTCCTACTTATTTCAAAATGACTTTGTGAGATAATTAGGGAAAGTGTTTCATTCCTTACTCTTTTGATTTTAAATTGAGTTTCAAGTTTTTAAGTTTTACCAGAAGTTATTTAATCAGGAATGGAACCACTGCTCTTCCAGCACAATCCCTGGCTCCAGGTATTATTTATGATAAAGCAGAGGTTTTCAAATATTGTTGTGTTTCGTGGTTTCACAGATTGTTTAAATCGATGTTACCTTGCGCACTTTGCTCCTTAGTCAGATACTTGGGCTGGGAAACATAAGTATTAATTTTCAATGAGAACAAAACTAATTTGTGAAGAGCTGCATTTTTCAAGTGATTATGAGTAATATTAATTATTATTAGTAAACATGCCAAATCATTGATGAGTTTTATTTCCCTTGAAACTGAATCATATCACATTCCTTTGCTCCCTAATTGTTAACAAATCTCAGTGGTTAACAAATCTCACTGACTTTATATTTTACGAAATAATATATACCACTTGCAGCTTTATTAGTAAATGTATATGACCTTGGGAATTATTTTATAGCTACTATATTTTTTATTTTTTGTTAATTTCAAACTTTGCAGTTGAAAACATTGAAGTGTTGTCTAAAGTAAGCACCACTAATACATTTATCTGTGTTCTGATACGGACTTGTTTCTTCATTTGACTTGTTTGATTACCTTTTTACCAGGTAAAATGCTGTGTTCCCTTTAAGCTCTGTGACATTCAAATCAGAGTAAAATCTGCACTGATTCTTGAAATACGCTGTGTATCATAACTTATTACAGTAATCCCCTCTTTGAAACTTTAATTTAAGAGTTCTAATTTAAAAAAAAAAAGACACACTGTAGCTTGAGTACTTTCACAAAATGGACTGCTTAACCAACTCTATTATTTAACTTCACAGGAAAAGTCTTTGAATTTGACATATGTTTCATGTTTCTCTGATCCATTGGTTTAGAATCTCAAATTCCCTGGATACCCACCGAAGCTCGTAATTGATAAATATTTCTGAGGAAACTATGTTTGTGTTTTGATATTTCCTTTGACTGATGTGGTAATCATTTTTCTCATCTCCACGGTCAAAGAGAAAGAGCTAAACCCATTCTCTGATCCTTTAAATAAACAATACTATTTATTCTCAGCTCTGCCTTGCCCTATTTCTTGAGGCTTCCATCTTTCCTAACTCCTTAGGTAGGGCATCAGGGTTGTCTTCAATGGAAACAGAAGACTTTCAAAATGGCTCCATGTTTAGTACAGTGGCATTATCTGGATTGCTGATACAGTGAAGTAGATCTATTAGCCTTCAATCCATCCATGATGCAATGATACTTAGTAAAAACACAGGTTCACCATAATCTCCACAAGGTAATCATACCAAGAAGAATCAAAATTGCATGAATAATCAAACAAATAATCTTTCTGAGTTGTGGGAAAGGAAAGAATGCATTTTTTTGTTAGTCATTATGTTAGCTACAAAATGTGAAAATCAATGTAGTAACAGCATACCTTAAGATTAATTCCAATAATTCTTAACAGAGTTCTTAAAATGCCCTTCTGATGATAGGTACTTTTTCACTAGAACAAAAGTAGTGATTTCCAAAAATTCAATATGATTTTAAGAATCATATGGAAGAATGATTTCAAATTATATATTAATACCTTTGTGAACATGGGCCTGTTTTACTGTATTTAGTTTTATTTGTGTTGCATATGATTAAGTGGTAGGATGGATTTTTTAAAATCTGTCCTTAAGGTAGTGATTTTCCAATTTATTTCACAGAGTGCAAATCACTGACAAAATAGGTATGATGTTTTCTATGAAAGATTTTATAAACTTTTAGGAGGATTCTAGGGTGGCACTTAAGGGATAGATATACTAAGAAGAAGGAAAAGTACCCAGTTGAAAGGTAACAGATTTTGTACAGTTCATCTTTATAAAACAATCATTCCAAAAAGAAATTGTTGGCTCTAAAATGTGGTTGAGAGAATAACAATTTAAAAAGCCTTCTTAAGTATCTGGGATCATTCGCATTCTGAAGTCAGAAATGTAAACTGATAGAGATCACTGTTACTGTGAGCTTCAGTGTTTCTGCTTGCTGTTGCAGTTCTGTATTTGAATTCTTAAAATGAAAGGAACATCACTGATTCAGTCAAGTGTGTCAGTGTGTTACCTTTTTCTAAGATTGTGGGAGCTCCTGGGGCTGGGGATTTAGCTCAGCTGTGTAAGTCCCTGGCAAGCATGGGGTCATGAGTTTAATCCCTAGTACCAAAAAACCCCCAAAAAACAAACAAACAAACAAACAAACAAAAAGAATCTGGGCAGCTTCAAGTGCCCCAAGCATGAGACTATGATAAAGGAAGAAGCTGTCCAGAAATCTATCAGAGATTGTCTGACTCAACCTTCAAAATCGGTGGACTCATAGATGATACATTTTGGATTCATAGTGCTAAAATATTTCTAAATATTGATAGCATTTTTGAGAATTTCTGATTTCCCCCTCAGTGATTGTTACTTTGTCTCCCTAGATATTGATCCCATATTTTCTGCTTTTCAAGAGTCATTATGTTCTTTCCACTTACCATCTCATTTCTGGTTTTACAGCCAAAGTCCGAACAAAATCACGTGCACATATTTTTTCCACTTCATCTTGCATCTTATTTTCTCTCTTGATTAATTTTTTGTAACTAGAGGTCAACTGAGGCTATTCTTGTTGTAATATAAAATATCCAAAGCTGGATGCAACTCCGTAGGTTTCCTCTTTGAAATATCATCAACATTTGATACTACTGCCTTCTCAATTTCATTAAAACAGTCTTCCAGGCTTTCAAGATTCCAGACTTCTCCTTCCCTTCCTAACTCTTCAGATACTCTCTCTGTCTCTATTACTCCCCACTCCTACTCTTTCCAAGAAGGAGATGTTGGAAATATCAAGAGCCAAGCCCTTTGAGGCCTTTTTGCCTCTCTCTCCATGCATACCATGATTTTCCATGTCAGCAACCTGGTTTCAAACACGTGTCCTGTGTCGACCACTTCCAGAATTCAATCAGCATCTTAGCCTCCTCCCAATTCCAGTCTCATAGATCCAGATGCCAACCCAGTTTCTTTACTTCCATAACACATTTCAAATGTAACATATCAAAAATTATACTTACTCCCCCTCCAGGATAAGCATGCGCGCGTGTACACACACACACACACACACACACACACACACACACACACACTCACACACTCACACACTCACACACAGACTCACACACACACAGAGAGGCACACAATTTCCCTTTTCTCGTTGAGCCTCCTGGTTTTAGTCAATGGCAGCTCGGTCTTCATGAGTATTTGAGCTTCAGGTCATTCCTGTGTTCTGTCTTCCTCAAACTTTTTGTGAAATCCATCAGAAAAGGCTTCACATGAATCCATCCGGTATCTCAGCATTTTCCCAACCCCTGATGTCACCATGCTCTTTCATAAACAGGAATACTGCATTACTATCCCTATGTTTGCATTTCAAGATACTGTTTTTATCACAGCAACCTGAATGATTTGTATACACTTTAGTTTTAAACACATCAGTGACTTTGTTATTCAGTAAATGCCCAACTTACACAACTACATGGAAAGCTACAAACTGGACCTTTGACCTCCCCACTATCTGTTATCACTCCAGCCATAGCTGCCCGCATTATAACCCCTCTGACTTCTCTGTGTCCTTGAATATGTAAGTAATGCTTCAGGAGTTGAACACAGCCTTCTTCCTCTAAAACATGCTCCTCCACCAATGTCTCAGGTCAGATTTCCTCATATATTTTCTTAAAGTTTACACACAAATATGACCTCTTCAGCCCAGTTTCTTTGGCCATGCAATATTATATATTACTGCTGTTTTGAGTACTTACCATAGTAATCTTCAGATCCTCCATTTCTTCCATTGTCTTTACCATAATTTAATAAATGCTACAGGTCTTCTTCTCCTGAAGTTTATATTTCCACCACTACAATGTAAATAATGTGAGCACAGAGACTTGAAGCTATTTAATTCACTACTGTGTCTTCCACACAGGAAGTAACACCTAACAAATAACATGCACTCAACAAAAATTATTGGATGGATGGATGGATGGATGGATAGATGAATGTATGTATCAAATTAAAAATGTTAAAATATTTTGGAGAGTGTTTTATTAATAAGTATGAATTTACATAAAAGAAAGGAGGTAGACGTGTGATTTAACTCTGAAAGTCCAATGGGAATTCAGTTGGCTGAAATTCATTGTCAAAACTATTTCATCTGAGCAGAGACAAACTCAGAAATGCAGTCTTCCTTGTTTCATATTCTGTCTTGCATGCCTGCTTTTCACAAGGAACAGTTGGTTTTAGATTAAATCTCAGAGTGAGCCCAGATCTGAAACTTTATTAAGCATTTAGTTTATTTCTCTGAGATCCCTATTATTACAATCTCTTTTTTAAAGAGAAATTAATCTATCTTACAAAGATTAATGAGTCACAATTGAGTCACTTTTAACTCAAAATCCATATTTTGCCTACAGAACAGAAAGATCTAAACTAGCAAGCTAATAAGACTCTTCAGCAGCTCATCATATGTTTTTATTTGAAAAATAAAATGGAAAATCTGTAGGGGGTAAGGGTGGGTAGTACACAAGCATTAAAATTTTAGGGTACTCATTAGAAATAACATCAAAAGATTAACAAAAACCAATTAACCACTGTAAATGTGCCATAAAAATGATGTGAGTTCTTTTTCATGTTATTTTTTGCAAACTTGTGTTAAGTGTCTTCTAGTTGCTTTATCATTCTGTACCCGTCCTCTGAAAGGCTGATCTTCAGGCAGCAGTGAGCAGCTGACCTTGCGCTCTGACTGGATTTGGTATCAGCTGGAGGTAGATACCTGCAACAGAACACAGAGGAGCCAGGTTGCCACTGAACAGAGTTCTCTAGAGCCTTCCAGAAACATGGCCACTCCTCTATGCTTTCTTTCTAACTCCTGGGACCCATTATGCCATGCGAATTCAGGCTCACCAGCTTTAGAGTACTGCACCTCTCTTTGACAGTTCCTTTAATTCTACCTACAACTTTATAATTAGTAGCTTTATAAAAATCCTCTTAATTACCCCATTTTTGAGTGTACCATCTGTTTCCTCTTGGGTTCTGGCTCATACAGGAAAACAACATAAAATCACACAAATGTAATATTCTTAAATAAGAAGTGATTGAAAGTAATTAGGAACAAATTGTCCACTGGGTTTAGGAGGAGGAGAGAGTAATTATTAAGAGAAAGTCATAGTTATCTATTAAATAAAGAAAAGAAACCATATGCATTTTGTGGGGCATAAAATACTCTTAAAGTATAACATTAGAAAGGAAAAGATTTATATAATAATCTGATAAATATCAGTCTTTGGTTCATACATACATATCCATATATATGCAAAAGGAATTATGCTCCAAACAGAGTTTCTTATCACATGTTCACTATAGCAGTTAGCAGATCTAGCAAAATGTCAACCATGGATATATATTGACCACAGATATATCTGTATATATATTGACCACAGATATATCAACTATAAATTGTATGGCCTTCTCCTTTGTTTTAGTTTAGAGAGACATGCTTTTTACTACATATACATTTACATTAAGTAGATTTCATTCTACATACACTGTCTCATATTACTGGAATTTAAAGTTAAGTTTAATGGATATGAAGCCATGAAATCCAATCTTAATATAGAAAATTTCAAAACTGCTTCAGGACTAGAGATTTATATAGCTGTGGAAGAGAAAATTAATGGAGTAGGAAGTACAAAGTACAGCTTACTGCATTTCTCTCCTTTTTAGATATAGTGTTCAACCTCCTCACACCTGGCAATTTTGCAGTCTCTCTTCATATTCTCATCTTCAATATAACTTTCTCCTTAGAAATCACAGCTGTTTCACCCTTTCTTTTCCATTAGTGTTAAAAAAATTCTCTAGGTAACATTTAAAAACTGATGCAAGTGATAAAATATGGAACTTTCCCTCTCTATTTTATGAAAATATCTTGTTCGGAAAAAGATAGGATCTTTAAACTCTGACATTTTAGAAAAGCATTTTTGATATTATTTTCCTTTAATATGGGTTTAATATTTGACTATTATATCTACAATTAACATTATCTAAACCTCTTGAAAATTTCACCACTGCCTTCATGAACCTTCCGCTTTGGCACAAAAATGCTTTGTTATTTTTCTAATTTGGAAATACAGTTTAAATATAAACTTATACTCTCAACATTGCACTTTTTAAATATCTCATTATTGAATATAGCAATATGTTTTAATTAGTTCTTTCATTGCTGAGACAAAATACCTAACGCTCAAAATTAATGTAAGGGAGGATTATTCGGCTCACAGTTTGAAGAGGTTTCAGTTCACAGTTATGTGGCTATCAGCCAAGGTTCCATGACAGAGAGCATTACAGAGTAGGCGAGATATCAAGCTGAGAGCAGCCAGACCACAGTGGTCCTCTTCCTGTCTCAGGGGGCTACCTTGCCTGAGGGTGGGTAGTACCGGCACTCTTAATCCCAGTGAATCAACCCCAGCATCATATCCTTGATCCTAGCATAACACACCCGAGATCCTGTCACCTCCCCAAACCCCGCCTATGATGAAGTGAGGCTTTTGGGGACATCTAGATACAAGCTATCACATAACATACCTAAGAAATTTGCAAAACAATTAATGTGTTCCTCCTGTTAAATTGTACTTCTTGAGCTAGGAGAAAACACTGCACCTGTCCCAGAAGAATTGGGGGAAATTAGAGATAAATATTCTAAGGAAGGTAGTAGTACTTCTGTGGTTAATTATCATCAAGTTTTCTCAGGATACAGTTTCTCCGTGGAACTAAATTGTAAATCTAAGTCTTTCCAATACAAAAAGATATAGAATGGAATAGGAGTCGAGAAAGACTATTCTACCCTTTAGAGTTAAAGGTCAAAGAAAAAATCTTAAGAGAGTCCTATCAAGTGTAATATCCTGGGGATAGGAAGATAAAACTCACCAGAGATTTCCAGTGTGGGGCAAAGCAAATTTGTTTACACAGAAACAGGCTGTTTTAGACAATCTTTTTGTTACTATGCTGCTGAACTAGGAAGTGGATCCCTTTTGTAATTGCTTTAATTTTCCCCACCTCCTGCAATAGTCTGAATCAAAACATTGCTTAGAACACTTTTTCTAACTTATAATCACTCCTATAAATCATTTCAACCTTCAAATTATTGTCAGTTTCTAAGGTCAACTGATTTTATCATTGGAATTCTTAAAACTTTCAGTTTTTTAGTGCATTTAATTTATTAATATTCATTCTAGATTCTTAAACAATCTGTGCCATAGATATGTAATATTTGCCTTTGTCACCTAGAAAACTGAGCATGAAAAAAATTTTTCAGTAATGATTTACAGAATGGAGACTCAATGGGAGGATCATTCTTTCTTAAGAATGTTCCTTGAATATTTGCCTATTTCTATAATCTTCAGGAAGAATTTTTTTCTGTTTCTTAAGTCAATGGCATTACAAAACCACTGACAGCCTACTAAGTCCTACTTTTGAGATGAGTCTTATTGACTCAGTACAATGTTTTCAGGCTTCCTTAATCAGAAAGCTATGATTTATGGTTGTTTACTCTGTCTTATATGCCAAAGAAATGTAAGTAATATCTGTTCAAAGAAAATGTAAGCATTTGAGAATTCCTTTAATTCCTCTTTCCATTCAGCAGACATGCAGAAGGAACTAACGCAGCTTGTTATCTGGGATGATGCCATCAGCAATAATGTGAAAATTCGCACTAGTAATAGCAGAGCAGCAATGCAGAAGTAATGCAGTTGCTTGGTGATCGGGGGGTAACTTAACCAATAGTGTCATACCTAGCCAATGTTCGTTCATTAAGAATCAAACAAAACTCTCACATGACATGATATAGCCACCCACCCAAGACTGATCAGTCCTTCAGGTTCCACCAGCACATCCAACTGAAAGAATTTAGGTGCATTTACTACCATTGTACCAGTCAACTTTGGGTATAAGTGGAAAAAGCATATTTTACAAAGTTATTTTTTCTATGCTATGGGTTGTGATGATACTGATTTTTAGAAATTTGGGGCCATTACAGGTATGATAAAACATGACTAAGGTAGTTCTTCCCAAATTTCTCCTCTCTACAAGAAATTTCTGAACTTTTAAATGTTTCTCACTCTATTTTTAAATAAGTGAATGATGGTTAATACAAATAAAAACTGTATGAGAAATATTGTACGCCTTTAAGTCATAAGATTTATTAATAATATATCAATAATTCTTAGAATCAACACACTAAGATTTAAATGGTGACTGTTATTGTCTGCGTGCAGTATAAAATGAAGAATAGTACATTCTTTTCATTTTAAAATAAATATACCATATTGGATTTTAATCCTATGGCTAACATGAACAGCAAACATGTCATTGAATATTGAGTGAAACTGGATATGCACTCTAAGAAGAAAGAACTCAGACTTTCATAATAATTTCCAATATCTTAACAAAACACATATTTCTAAATGCAACATACACTTATCAGTAATTCTTTGCAACCACTGTTATGTCATAAAATCAAAGAAAAAAGTTATTTGTTTGGCAGATGATAACAGTGTAATGTACCACTTGTTTATTACAAGAAAAGTTTAGTTCAAATTGTTAACTTTTTATGACTTTATGAATAACTAAAAATAGACTTCAACATGAAATTTTAGAATATTTATTCATATTGCTAACTTAAGCTAATCTTAAAATATTCAGGTTGCATTTTTAGCTTGTGTATATTAAAACAGGCAGAGCAAAATTCAAATGACTTCTTAAACAGTCTGACTTTTTAAAACATAGGATCTAATCCTATGAAGTAAATTATTTTAGACAATATATTCAAAGACTTTTCATTTTATGCAAAGGGAAAAAAATCCATATTAGCATCTAGGGAAAGGAGATGCCAGAGAAATTGATGAAGAAATTAAGAAGTTAGTGGAGAAAAAAGTTAGCACATTTGTGTGTTTAGTAGCTATGACTGGGCAAGTGTGTCAGTTCAGTTTGGGTACATGACAGTTTTCTCCTGTGTAAAAGGAAGTTAATTTTACCTGAATAATGCATTAAGGAAATTTTAAAATTTATAAGGATGGGAATCATTCAACACATAAAATGTAGCTAAAATTTGTTATAACTGTGATATATTTTAAATATTTTGTATGTAACTCAGAGGATTCAACATGAAATAATGAAAAAATTGATGTTTAAGAAATGCACATATATATCTAAACTTTTTGATATCCTAATCAATAGGCCAATGGTATGTCTTACATGGAATTTCTGGGGGTGGGGTTATTGTTTTGTTTTGCTTTTTGTACAAGAACATTTAATACAATACTCTGCATCATACAAAAATCATAAGAAACTGTCTTTAACTGAGCAAAAATAAGTATTGTCTCATGACACAATTACTTTGTTTATTTCTTTACCCCAAAGATGAACAAGCCTGGAAAGAATATTAATAAACATCATTCAACTAGATTATAGAGTTATAGAAAATACAAATTATACATATTTTAAAATGGCAAATAAAACATTACTTTTTTAACCTGTTTTCCCTGCCAAATAAACATGAGATGGACAGACAGATAGATAGATAGATAGATAGATAGATAGATAGATAGATGATAGATAGATAGATAGATAGATTCTTTACATTATATATATGAGAACCTTGAAAAAAAATATATATATATATATTTCTATGTGTATATCATGAAACATATTACCCTTAACTCTAAAGTGATTAGATAATTAATCAACCTGTTTTTTTGCCTTATACTCTTTCACCTTATCACTGAAAACCCCCATGTCTAATAATTTTTTCACTCCCAGGAGAGCTACAAAGCTTGTCTGGGACCTCTATGGTTCTAAAACTAAGAATTCTTCCCCCTGGGAAAGCTGTAAGGACCAACTAATCCGGAACACTTGGTCATTAGTGCGTGGTAAAATCTCACTGCATATGAAGGAAACAAGAATTACAATCTATGAAGGAGGTACATAAAAACGTGTCCAGCTCAGACCTGGAGCTGGGTGGGCATGGGGCAGGGAAACTGACAGAGTTCCAACCTAAAGAACTTGGACTATCTCAGCAAGAGGGAAGATCTCATGTTCAACCACCCAATCACAGAAGAAAGTGTTACCAAGGGCACAGCAAACTCCAGGGGATGGACAGGGCATGTTAACCACCCCCCCCCAGTCATAAAAGTTGTTTTCTACACAAAAATTTCTGAGTTACAATTAGAAATTGGGAGGCATACAGAGAATATTTTTTTTGAAAACACAACAGAACTCAGGACCTCATGCTTGCCAGGAAGATGCTTTGCCACTGAGCTATATCCCTGCCCTTAGAGAAGAAGATTTTTAAAAAGCCAACCCATTGCCAAGAGATAAAATAATGAACAGAAATGGGATATGTATTTTGATACTCTCAGAGAATTTAAAATAACTATGATCAACAATTAAATTTCCAGTAGGAAAACAGAAGAGTGTATATTTTCAGATGAGGCATTTCAAAACAGAGATGATTCATATATAATAATTAGAAGTTTCAAATGAAAAATATGAGCGGATTCTGAGGTATTCCATCACAGAAATGAAGTATGTGAGAAAACAGAAATTCTAGTTCATCTGATTTGATAATTGCCCATTGTATACATGTATTAAATTACAAAAATGTGCCTCGTGAAAAGTACAAGTGTCTTCATCATGCATTTGTTCTTTTTGTAATTTCTGAAAGTTTTCACAGTGGAATTCCTATTTTTAAATTATAATATTTTGGACATCTCTAGATGGTCCTACTTTTCATTTTGTAATTTTTTTGCAAAGAAATGCTTTCACATCTTTTTGTCCTGATTTATTTTTTATATTATTTTATTTTACAGTTTATTATTTTGGTAATGAAGATTGAATCCAGAGCTTTCAATTTGCCACATATTCAGGTCTCTTAATTTTATTATTATTATTATTATTATTATTATTATTATTATTTTGAGAAAGAGTCTCACTAAATCACTAAATTTCTGAAATTGATCTTAGACTTTTGATCCTCCTGCCTCAGCCTTCCAGAGCCCTGGATCGCACACCTGCATGACCACACCACCATCACACTAATTTTTTTTGTATTACTCCTTTCTGTTTGCATTATCTGGCTAATGCTCCTGTCTCTCCAGCTTGCTAAAGCAGACACGATTTTATTATTAGAATTCCTGATGTTGTATGCTTTTTGATAATTCTGAACATTTTCAAGTTTTCTAAATTTTTATTATTTATATGATAATTATGCTACACTTTTGGTACATCAGAATATATATACAGGTAAAATTCCCAAGTCTATTACCATGTAAAATTTCAAATACATGGATCTATCCAGCATTCCTGCAGTGTAGTTTTCAAACCTCTGCCTCTGTGCATAAATAAATTTGCAACTAAATTTCCATTTGATTACCTACACCAGGCAAAGATCCTTTTGTAATACTAATTTTCCCCCATAAACTTATTAACTCTCTCATAGGTTAATGTGTCCTAAAAGTTTCTGAATTTTGCATCTTCCTCCTCATCTAACGGCACCCATAAACGTACAAACAAGGAGAGGTCTATTCTATTCTCTGCACAGCTCTTAATGGGGTTCATTTATGCATTTGGCACCTGGGAAGTAGAAAATATTGTGTTTTTTTCTTCTTTCCTCACAGGTTATATGGGGCTTAGAGAAAGAATGATATAATTGAAGAAATCACTAATAAAATCGATCTGCATATTGCTTCTGTCAAAGTATCCTTTGCTAATGAGAAACACTCTGGAAAGTCCTAATGACATACAGATACATCACATCTGTACAACACTTCAGATCCGTCATTGTCATTCCTGTTTCCCCAGGACAGAGGGTGGGGGACAGCATTTTTCTGATTGCTCACTGTGTCCTTTGCCTCTACCCTCTCACCTTTTCTGCCTCTCCCAGTGCCCCGGGATGTCACTCTGTATAAATTCTGTCACCTTCACAGATCCTCCTTTTGACAACCGGGCAAAGATTTCCTTACAAGCAGGAAAAGAGGTAAGTTATGGGAGCTGGAGGAGAAATTCAGAAAGGGAGAAAGGAGGATTTGACAGCAGGTTAACTCTCCTGACCTTCTCCCAAAGGTCAGAAAATGATTCTGTATCCACAGCAGACAGAGCTCCTGAGGAAAGGGTGGATCACAGAAACAGCACGCAGAGGACATAAACTCAGAACGTAGTTAAAGGCAATAACCTTATTGATTTCAGGTATCAATTTATTTTAAGTGTTAGCTCCCATTTTAGTATTTTTCTGTACTTCAACCTAAGAAGAATAAAAACCTTTAGTTTCTGTACTACATCACGATTTTCATATAAACACCACCTGGAAGCCCAGCACCCTTAGACAGTCTGTATTATCATATTTGCTTTTCAGAGAATGAAACTCACATTTGGAATGGACAGTGAGCAGTCTTAATAGCAGCTCAGTAGGGAATGCCTGAGCAAATAATCAATTCCTTACCAGATTCCAAAACCAATTTTCTTTTTACATTTCCTCACTTGAAAATTTCAAGTAGAATCCTTTACTAAAATCTATTCTCCCAAAACTAGGTCACCAACATTGGAAACTTAGGAGCATATGTAAAGTAAGAAAAATCGAATCAGGCTTATGATTTATTAAAGTTATTTACTGCAATAATTACATCCTTTAAAAAAAAACCTATTGATCTTCACAACCCATCAGGAATCTATTTTAACAAGAAACTGTGTACACTGCAGAGTAAGTCTTTGAACTTTCCGCAGGGACTTACAAGTCTTTCCAACTTGACTGTTCTCTGTTTTCTGGCTTGTGAACTTCAGAAAAGAGAAAGAAAATGCTATTTCCTTCCTTTGTACCCTCCCAAATGTGTCTACCAAAATATTATTCACTCAGTGGGTAACCAATTTATTTTGCTAACTGAGTGAAAGATGATATAATTATATAATAAAAGTTTCTTTTGTTCACAGCAAATAAGCAAAAGAGTGCCTAAAAATTGTCACAAAGTTTCCAAATCAGACTTGCTTAGTAATGACTATTAGCAATAGAAATCACTAGTTACAACATGATGCGGGACATCTAATGAAGGCAAAGCATATTTTGACTAACCCTTTTTCTGAAATGTTCTTGGTAATCAGTGTTAGAATGGGGTCAAAGTCATTTTTTCTTATTTGAAATGGAAATGTAATTGTAATGATTATAAAAGAAAATTTTGTGTCTGCCAGAAATTTTAATTTTTAAGCTGGCAGCTTTTTAGCACTTATTTCTGACAACAGCTGTTGCAATGAACATTCCAGACTTTTCTTAGTTGCTTACTCTTTCACAAGTCAAAAGCAAAATACAAGAAACAATAGTATGAAAGCACAATGCAACTTTGAACTAGTCAAGTTTCAATACTACAAAATTATGTTAGATTGACATTATACATTTCCATATCTGATAATGTACTACAGAAATATTACTTTTGACTGAAATTTAAACAAGTAATAAAATGACTTAATTGAATAACTAATCAAAAATAAATGGCTATTTTATTTCAGTTTTTAACATAAAAACACAATGGAAATGTTTTTCTGTCTCTAGACAGATTACAGCCAATATTGAGTGTAGATCTATTTGCACCTCTAGGAAGCAAGTCAAATACACTTATTTCACTAACAAAAGAAGGCAAAAACAAAGAACAAAGGTCAGAGGTAGAGGAAAAAAGACAAGATTCTGAAATTTACTTCATACACTTGATTATGCTCATTATGGGTTACAGTTGCTAGGACTTTGTCCCATTTTTAAGAATTCAAATGTAGGGGTAAAAGAAATGAACAGAATTTGATATTAAGGAAGAAATACTTTAAGACTGTCTGTGGCATAGGACAGAGTGGGCGTATCGTTAGGGCAATACCAGAAAGCAACTTCATGAGCAGCTATGAAGAGTGGAATCCGTCACCTGACATGGGTTTTAGAATGGAGGATTGGTGCTAGTAGTTTGACTACTAAGCTGAAGAACCTTTAAAAAGGAGAAATCCCAGAGGGAGGGGAGAGGAAACCAACAGGTTAAGATTGTTGACTCCAAGGGCACAAAAAGACTCTAGGAAGGTTCGTCTCATGAGCAAAAGTGAGACTGCAGATGCCTTCCCTATACCATGTGCAAGGTTGCTCGCCCTGCCACTGCAGGTGAGGAGTGACTTTCCTAAAAGCAACACAAAAAAAAATTGTTGGTTTCCATGTAGTTTGTCTCCCACTGGTTTGTGTATTAGAAGTTTGGTCTCCAGTCTGGTGATACAAAGAGATCAAAGGACTTTTAAGAGAGGAGCTCCTTTCTGGCAGTCTGGAGGTGGATGGGTCTCCCATCACACAACACTGACCTTGGGTGCTATCCAGGATAACTTTGATTCCTCAGCAGAACCAAGCTGATGTCAGAGCCACTGTCTGGACCTCCAAAACTGTAAGATAAATGTTTTGTTTATAACCTATACAATCTCAGTTCTTTTGTTATAGTAACACAAAAATAGACAAATAAAATAACAAACTTTAAAACTAAAGTAAATCTAGTTTTGACAAAAAGTTGAAAGAGTTGAATTTCGAATATCTAGCTTTATGTGCCTATCTACTGTTTTCCTACTAGCATATACCACCTAGCGCTCACAGCGTATATCAGTGTCACTCAGCACATGGCAGCGTACTGACTGCAAGTGACTTTACCGTTGGGAATGTAGTCCCACTATTCATTTGCTTGCTGGATTTACATGTTGGCATTTAGATTTTAGGCACTGGCTTTCTTTCCCTCTGCAAAGCAGCGGAATAGATACAGCAAGATAAAATAAATTAAGAATTGTCCAAACTTTCAATATACAAATATATGTTAAATATATTTTATTACATCATTTCTCATAGGTTTAATCATCTATATTTCCTATCATTCATCTGTGAGACATTGTTTAAAACATCCATGCTTTATCCATGTTTTTAAACCTTAAGCACATTGTTTGATATGCACAGCAAAATAATAATTTAGTCTTGAATGTTTTTATCAGTGCTGGAAATTAAACCCAGGTCCTGAAGCATGCTAGGTAACACCCTTACCTTGAGATACATCCCAAATTTTATCTTGAAAAGTGGTTCTGAGTATGTGGACATTACATTTACCATTTATATATCAAAAGATTAGTAAACTTTTATTCATCATTGTAATTAACCGATATCAAATTGCATTAATGGAAACATAATTTCCATTAGTTTCTACATTCTTGATTGCCTAATAATCTGTAGTTTAATGTGTTCTGTCTTCCGTGTTTACTGTAAATCGGTCATTCAATCTAGAGCTTGGTCAGGCTGTGAGTTAGACATTTCGGATAAGATTCCCTTAGCTAGAGTGCTGTGACCTTACATTTGGATACTAATAATGTCAGGCTGTTCCTCTTTTTTACACCATAAGAACTATTAATGATTTTAAAAACTTTTTTGGAAGCGTACTAAAGATGCATTTCTCACATAAATGTATTGGAAACATAAATTTTGAGGGAAGAAGCAAGTAAAAGAAATCAGTTAAGTGCAGACTAACTACCTAGACAAAATAAAGACTTAAACTTCTTTATTTCTAAGACTAATGTCTATATGGCTGGAGTACAAGTCTTGTAAGAGGTATACAATTTTCTTGAATGTATACTATACCTGCAGCCATTTACCTATTTCAAAAATTTGGAATTCTGTTCATTTGTTATCTTTAACCACCTCAGATTTAAAGGTTACCTTAATGTACATTTAAAGTGTATTATAAAAATGGCATAGTTAGTAAAACACTGAGTTTTTTTTTTCTTTAAAAACTCTCTTAGAAGGAAGTATACAAAACCTATTTGATCTGGAGTTCTTTAGGGCTCCCATGATATGTTAGAGAATGCTCTGTGTGCACGCAGTATTTTTTATACTGTGTTTTAGTGGTCTCATGAATATGAGAGTCCATATTTTCATCAGTTTCATGTGCAAATATGTAATTACTTGGACTGTTTCTACTTCTCTGTTATCTTCTTCTAGTTATTAACTAAACTGATTTTCTCCAAGTTCCTTAACTTTTCATAAAATATATTTTTATTGTTGTTTTTGTTATTTTGCATCTCTGTTCCCTGTTGTGTCTGTGAATTTACATTATCAGTTTAATTTGCTGGCCTACATAGTATATTTTTTCTTTCACCTTTCCTTAACCAAATGTTACTATAATTTGATTAAAGTATCCAGTTTTTTTGGCTCACATTCAAATTTTTCAGCTTCTTTATTTGTGTAAATTTATTAGGCACATATATTTCACATTTCTTATGTGATTAAACAATCTTAACTGTTGTTCTTTAAAAGTAGTTTTGTTTTGTACCTGCCTGGGATGAGATACTGAGCCTTGTGTTGCTAAGCAAATATACCGAGTATGCAAATATGTACATAAAATTTTACAATTATGTACCCAGATTTTAATCAACTTACCAAGAAAAAATATGATTCTAAAATGTTAAACATGTGCTACTATCTTTTCACCAATATTGTGGTCAAAAACAATGTACTTTTTCCCATCATATGGAGCTATTCCCTGAGAACTAAAATTGTTCACTGTCTCTTGGATAAAATTCCAGTTACAAATTGATGAGTTCTATCCATTCATCCATTTATTTACTTACATCTATTTGGCATCACTACAAACTCCTAATTCTTCAGACTAATTAATTCATAGTACTAATTCAATCTGATTATGCACTTCCAATGAACAAATGGGGACATTTATCATTATTAATTTTAATGAATTAGATTTACTTTCATTTGCTGTAAATGAAAACATGCCTCCTGATATGAAACAGTTTTCTGAAATGATGTTTCTATATAAATTTCAAATGAAAACAGTTCTTTCATTCTCTATTTTCTGCAGACCTATGTATATCAGGAAGAGACAACTGTTTTGTAGTTGTTTTATTTCGTGTCCTATGTATTATAAGGATATCTATATCTAAGGTTTATTGGTATTTATTTTTGCTTATCAGCAATACAAATATTTAGCATTAAGTTACACCTCAATAAAATAGGACTTTTTTTCCTTTGAAGTGATATATATATATATATAAAATTTGGAAATAGTGTATGTTTAACATTCCAAGGGATTATTTCTTTCTCCAGTGAACTAAAATAGTCAGTCAAGAGCAGAGGTGAAATGTAGACTGATAAAAAATTTTTCAGTTAATTGAATGATGATTATATACTACTTTCCCCAATCATATCATAAAATACCTCTATTTACATTATTTATGTTAAAATTTGAATTATACTGATAAATTGCTTATATGATTAATGATACAAATCATTTTTCATAAAATGTGAAGTTCTATAATTTTATGTCTAACAACTGGCTTCAAAAATATGAAATAGTTTTTTTTTTGTCTTTTTCCTTTTTATCAGTATCAGGAATCAAACAACTGCCTGCTTGCAAGGCAGGTGCTTATGCCACTGAGCTAAATCCCCAGCCCCAAAATAATATTTTTTGATCATACAGGGTGCCCCTCATATTTCTACCAGCTTATTAATCTCTAAGTACACAATAAATAAAAGCTAATTCTGAATAAGTTTTGAGGTCAGTGCTGCAAAACACTACCGAAATAATGGCTATATGTGCCAATATTGCTTATTTTATGCATCTATAACAATACAGGCTTTGTCCTAATTATATCTCGGCCATGCGGGCTTCAACTGAGAAGAGATAATGAAAAATTGTATCAATTTTATTTAAAATTTGGAATCAAAATACCTGGCAGAACCTGGGTACAGACTCATGAGACTTTTCCTACAGTTCTGGAATGTTCCTACAGTTCTGGAATGTGGTTATTAGGATGGAGATCAATAAACAAGAAGAGTCACTTAAAGTCTACGAAGGGAAGAAACCTTGTTATCAAAGCTCACCATTTCTGCAAGATTTGGGGCCAAGAGCATTGGGGTACAGAATGTGACAAAGTAGAAACAAACATCTAGCATTATGTGGTCACCTGTGACGTGGGCAACACTGTGAGACACAAGGTTTATGATGAACTTTATAAAGTGCAACAGTGAGCTCTTTGGCAGGTAGTAATGGAGCTATGTATAAATGCAAGCCTGCCTTAGTCAATTTCCTTTCATTGGAACAAAATATCCAACACTCATAACTTAAAAAGGAAACTATGTATCTTTTTCTTATAGCTTTAGTGAATTTATTCCTTGGCCAGCTGCTCCAAGGCAGAAACCACAGAGTGGGAGGACCTGGCAGAAGAAAATCTGCTGGCTTCAAGTCAGTCAGGAAGCAGAAAGAAAGAGGAAGAGCGGGGAGGAAGATGTCACTCCAAGTCCCACTCTCAGTGACCTCCCTCTTCCATGCAACAGTACGGCCGGTATGAACTGATCCCTGGGTTAATCCACTGATGAGAATTCACTGCAGTATCCACTCACCCTCTGAAAGCCCCTGTTCTCAGCACACGAGTCTTTTTGGGGGGGGGGATCTCTTGGATTAAACCATAACATAACAGCACTTCATTTTAAGCATGGCATTACTTTCTTTTTCTAAAATTCGCAGTGTTGTAGGAATGAATTTCAAATGTGCATCTTCACATTTATACATTGATATATCTGTGTAATTTTTTCCTGAAATGAAACTGTGGAAATGCTGAATACCAGAGACAGTTTAATCCAATTTACTTCCTTTCCAAAACATTTTTTCATATTTAATATTATCTTCACCTTGTTTAGAAAATGACACATTAATTTTCTAGTTAGAAATATAAGCTCTGACAAAATCCCTTGATTCCATGTTCACTATGTACAATATACAATTTATATTATCCATATGGTGATATTTCAGGTTTTTTTTTTTTATCTACAACCCAAATGAAAACATTTGGGATTTTTGTTTCCAGGAAACACATATTGAATATGACTTATTTAGCACTCAAACGAGTGACTCATGCATTATGGCACTGTTTCTTCATACAACTACAGAACCAAGCCGGTGATTTGTGAAACATATCATAAACCTCCAAAAGGATCTCACAATGGGTAGAGTCATCTTTGTTGTTATTCAAAAATACTGGAACAAACACCTTTGAATAAGCTTTCTTATTTTTGGCCTACTGAACTCATCCTATCCTTGAATGGAGGGGGGTCTTTATTTCAAATCTCTGTGTAGCTTTGCCATTTTTTCTCCCACCTTGATACATTAGATATACACTCCCCAAACATACAATTTAATTCCAGATGCTTGACCTATACATGGGTCTCCTTGGTTACTCATATGTAACATTTTTCTCGGCTTGCTTCTGGTTTTTGTTTTGTTTTGTTTTGTTTTGTTTTAGATGATAACTTCCCTAGACTTGATAATTTATGCACAATGCTTTAGAATCAGAAGTCAATTCTGATTCTGTCTGGTCAGTTTTCTAATTGAGAATATTAATCTGTTCCATTCCATGGGAATGGACAATCCTTAGATCATCTGAGTAAAATTTTTTAAAATCATTCTTTTGAAGAAGTAAATTAATTAGAATATAAATGAATGGAAATATATTCTTTACTTATAAATTGAAAGGATTCATATTGATCAAATGTCCATAATATCCAAAGTAAACTGTAGATTCAAAACAGTCTATGTTAAATTGCCAAAATATATTTAACAAATGAAAAATCGTACGTTTCATTGAATCCACACAACACCTTTAAAAACTCAAGAAATCCTGAAGGGGGAAAAAATGAAGCTGGATAAATCACACTATTGACTTAAAAATATGCTAATAGTGTAAATAGAACAGGGTGTGACATGTGACAGGCCCATGGCATGGCAGAAGCCCCACAGCAAGTGCTTTGTATTTATAGTCTATGGATTTGGACAAATATACTATGAATGCAAAGTGAGAAAAAGGCAGTCTCCTCCATGATATCTGGTGAATTATACTAGAGAAGGTGGATCCTACATTGAGAATAATGAAATAAAACCTTATCTCATAACACAGACAAAAATCAACTTAAAATGAACTAAAGATTTAATCAAGAGACTTGCAATTGCAAAATCACCAGAATAAGACTTAGGAGGAAAATTCCATAATGTTGCTCAGGGTAATATTTTTTAAATATGGTTTGCAAAGTGCAAGCAATGAAATAAAAACGGACAAATGAGATACTCTCAATCTAAAAGGCATTTGCAAAACTAAGGACTCCACAACAGAGAAAGGTCTAATCACAGAACTGGAGAAGATGTTTGCAAAATATATGCATACTGGGACACAATTTTCAAAAAACACAAAGAATGTGAATAACTCAACAAAAAAGCAAATAACCTAATTTAAAAGTGGCCAAAGGGTCTAAAAAGACATTTCACAAAACAAGATTAAATGGTCATCACATATATGAATAAATACTCAGCATCACTAATCATTAGGGCAAAGGAAGCTAAAGCCACAATGACATAACACTATTTACCTTCTAGAATGCTTGTTATTAAAAAGATAAATAATAAGTGTTAAGAATGAAGAGAAAAGAGAATCCTTATACAGCATTAATTCAAACATAAATTAGTACAGACATAAAAAATTATGGGAAGTTCCTCAAAAAGTTTAAAATAAAACTAAAAACGACCGATAATCTCACAATAGTATATTTATCCAAACAAAAATTAAAAAAAACATTATTTATCCCATGTGGGAGAAACAAACATTAAGTCTCAGTTTGAATAATTGAATGCAAATATTAAAGCGTAACAAAATCTAGAATTTTCATCTTCTATTACATTTTGCAATTCCCTGGGCTTAAACGCAGAAGCTTTAAGCCAAGACCATGTAAACTGTGTTAGAGTTTTTGCTAGTGACATTGATAATAGCAAAACTTTATATGATTTAGAAATTTGTTTAAGAGTTTACTGGTATTTTAGCTTGTCATTTCTTCTTACCTATATGCGTACACAGGTGCGTATAGAGAAGAAAGCAGATGGAAAAATTTAACAAACATCTTTAGTAAAATATTTTAACTCATTCTGGATTTTCATTTCCAGTATTGCTACTAAGTGCCCATATCATTTGAACAGCATATTTTTGGACAGAGGGCAAGCAGCCTTTTAAATATCATCTGTTAGAAGTGTCTGCGCAGTGCAGGAACGCTGTCGCGTGCCCCATCACATTAAACTCCTCAGTCATTTTCCTCCTCATATGGCAAAGCCTGACCCAAATGCTGAGCTGTGTACCTCAGTCCCAGAGCAGCAGCTGGTACCTTGGCAGCCTCATTAAGGGGCTGCGCTGGGCCCTCGAATATCATCTGCAGGTCTTGCACATCATTATGCAGCTGATGTCTGCTCTGGGCTCCTGTGTCCTTCTGCTTAACTTGTCCTCTTGACGAATATGTTTTCACAGATTCTGTTAATTTTACTAATTTATCTATTAGGTAATTATCATTTGGTCCTTGCATAAATGAAGGTGCATCCATGGTAAAAGAATATCTATAACAGTTTTCCGTTGTAATTCACTCTGAAGTAAGAGTGCTTTGTAAAATTTTAACATATTAAAAAATACGCTCTCACCACCATTCCATAAACTAAAAAGAAATATAATTATAGGTAGGGATATAAATATCAGATAAACTACATCCAGAGCAGATAACTCATAATGCATAATGGCAGGAAAAAGAAACTTTCTGTTGGCAATTTCCTTCCTGTTAAATCAATTAGTAAGGAGTCTATAAATTTCTAACACTTAGAACAAAATAAAAACAGATAGCCAATCAATACATCAGTGTATCCATATGGTTCTCAACAACAGGCGAAGTGAACTGATAAATGTGTCCTTCCAATAGTTAAAGATGATGATCAAAAACGATACCTGACAGAAGCTGAGCAACAGGAGATTTCCTTCATCTAACAGAACATCTATTTGAATAGCTTCTTTATAACATGAAAACCATCTCTCTTTGCTCTTGACTCCTTCTGGTGTCTCAGAGCTTCAGTATATGTGTCTTTATAACACGCTTTAGAATTTCTTGAATGAGATTCTGTTTCTAGCAAGTCATTGCATAATGTAAAGAGTTTTGTTTAAGCATAGGTTTTGAAAAAATATTTAAAAGCAGTAGATTTCATGAGTTTTGATTATTTTCTTTCATTAGAATGATAAACTGGCATCCCATCATTACCTGTGTTCTGTTGTTAATGCTGAAAGGGATGTTCTTTTGTTCTTTTTGGAAAAAAGAACAAAATCTTTTGTTCTTTTTGGAAAAAACCCTGCAACAATACATCAATAAATATGTCATCAAATGTACTTTGTTTGAATTTTACTACTGAGCAGCCTAAGAAAGTTACATTAATTCACTGGTTTTTATCACAGTACCTAGAATGTAAGGTTTTATCCTAGGCGAAAGGTTTAAAAAGTTGCATATGTTTCATTTACAAGGTAGTTTAATACCTACTGTTCTCCTTACTGGTTTTTTCAATGTTAGTACTGAACAGTTAAAATATAAACCAATACCATCAGTGCTGTACATTCTATTATTTTAGTCACATAAATGTAGAAGTGATGTGAAAATGCTGTGATTTGTTGGAAAAACAGTCATGTTCAGAGTAAGCTTTTCATTATGCTTTACTTCACTAAGAGATTTTCCCTCTTTTCATCTTTATACATTTTAAGTAGCAATTTAACAAATAAACTAAATTCATAAAACTTAAAAAAGTCATCTACTAGCTATAATATTTTAGAATTCTCTAAACTATGATTCATTTTTATTCATGTCAAGATAGTATTCAGGGAAATACAGCAGAAAAAACGTACTAACATACTAAAAGTGCTTCTAAAAACAATATTGGCATAGTTTACAAAGACATATTTTCAAATTTAGTGATGTCCAGGTATTGTAGCAAGAAAAAAGCATTTTGTCAAACAACTGAGGAGAACTGTTTTTAGACCTAACACCACAAATTGGTAGAACTGATGTGATCTGACACAGTGTTCTATAACTAAAGATGTTTTAGACATCAGCTAATTTTTCATGTGACACAAATATGTTTGTAAGTAGTACAATAGTGATTTATTATGAAAATATAAACTAAAATATAATTTATCCAAATGTTTGATAAATACTTCTTAATTAGCATATTCTAACCCCAGTTGAAAAGTGGACATGGTTTGATGTTACATGCAAATTATGTTTAATATGCAAAATAAAATCAAACTTTATTTGCATAAGATGAACTTTTAGAAAGAACTTCAGGAAGTTCTATGGATTTCCCAGTCACTGGTACATAAAAATACTACACGGGCCAGGAATATAGCTCAGCAGCATAAGCGCGAGGTTCTGAGATCAATTCCAAGTACAAAAGAAAAAGAAAAACATACTATGAAAAAGAGGCCAGATTGGTTTAATTTCCTATTCTGAAAATCCATCCTGATAAGCCTTTCACTGTGAGGATGCATGAGGTAAAATAAAAGCAATGTGCTTCTTCAGTAAACTATCAACTAATTTTTATTTGCTATGAAGTCGGTAATGAATTCTTCAGACTTCCTGATACAGTTTTTACACACAACTGTGACACTTAACAGTGGGTACTCTCTTGCATTAATCTCATTTTTTAGACATTTTGCAAGAACTGGAAATCAATGCAAAAATAATTTTTACAAGTGATTTTTGTTAACTGTTAATTTTCCAATCATAATAAGTAAAAAAATTTAATGAATCGTGATAAGTTCATTTCACTGCAAGCCAATTTACCTAACTACCACGCAAGAAATTAAAGACAATAAGACTTTACCTGGCTCTGTGAGTATACTTTGGGAAATGTAACTGAGAAGAAAGAGACAGCTTGAAACTGGAAAGCCTCTGTTTCTTTTTTCCAATCATAGGTCTTGATGTGGCTAGTGTAATCTTGATTCAAAAATAAAAACAAAATCAAAGCATTAGGGGTAACAAAGAAAAAGGATAAAGAATACAGGTAATTGATGATGTCTCTGAACTATACAATATTACTAGCCCTGGAATCACTCAGTCTATGATGGAACTTTTAAATGTGTTTATACTTCTTGCTTCAATAATTTTGAGTTGGATTTTCCACCAACTGTGTGAAATATATACTAATTAATTCATTTTACTGAAGAGATGAATCAGCAAAACCCACACTTCAAACAGTTTCCAACTCCTAACAGCATATTTAGATATGAACTCATCTATGCATCAACCTACAAATGGGTATGGCCCTGAGTTCACTCCCCAGTATTGGGGAATTTTTTCTTTTTAAATAGACATACTTTTAAAAAGTATGTCCTTTGGGGAAGTAGTTGATATAACTGGTGCTTTAATTTATATGAGATGATTGTTAATGCTAATGAAAGTATAACATAACATACTCCTACGTCCAAAATAAAGTTTTATTATGTAAAATTCAATTTGCTGTAAGAACACACAATGTCCCAAATAACAAACAATATTTTAAGTCTTAGCTTTAAATGTTTAAAAATTAACTGGCGTCTTTTAAGTATGTATCTTTCCTTGGAAAGTGGTATTTATTTGTTTAAAAATCACAGAACATGTTGTTTTTAGAGATTTGCAAATGTTCCATGGAGCGTCTGTTATAAAACTTTAAAATCAGCTCAAGAAAAAAGAATCATCTCTTCATGGCATGATTTTTATTATTTTTCTTCTCACCATTCTTAAATAAAGCCTTTGTATATTTCAAATGAGGAGCTTTGACAGATAATCAGTGTAATAATAATAGGGTTTTTGTGTTCATCACATTTTATACATTTGGAAATGCTTAGTGATAAAATAATTTAGATAACTGTCTTCATCTCACCAAATTAGATGCTTTTATTTTTGATTTTGTACTTTAAGTGAGTGTTTCAGTACATCACAAAAATGTCCTTTGACATTTCAATGTTACTAAGGTTTAGTTATCAGGATTTTATTTGTTAGTAGTTGCTAAATCAGTTTGCTTGCGTTTGCATTGCTAATTTTTTTATTCTTGTTTATCATAGTTTCATACATTAATTAAATATTTAATTTATTTCTTTAGGAAGTTTGGGCCACCAAACCATCATTAGAGAGGTGAATGAAGACAAGAGAGACAGAAAGTATCTCTGGGGGGGGGGGTGTCAGAGGAATTCTATTAGAATGAAATCACAAACTGACTTAAACTCCCACTTTTACTGAGAAACAAAAAAAGACATTGTGTTCTACTGAATAGGGATGCATATTTTAGATTAGAAAGGCATGATGACAATTTTGATGAATGGTTAGCTTCATCAAATTGTTCCCAGGATGTCTCTCTTCTTTCACTTCGGAAGCTTGTCTCTGGCCAACTTCAAGACATTCCAGCCCTGCAAGGTCTGAGTCAGCTCAAGTAAAAGTAAACACATGGGGTGTCATGAGGATCTCCACACTTTTGGGAGAAGTCATCAGGAAAGTTTGAAGAACTTGCCATAAAAGCAAGAAGAAAAATAGTCACAAGTCTATCCAGTGAGTTCTGTGAGTGTTGTGTTTCTGCCACTTGTTCTGAGACCATTAAACCATTGTTCTGTGGCTTACAGTCCCAGGACTTTCCTACCTTGATGACTGGCATCACTACTTGGAAGCAATTCTCTCTGGAGGAGAATAAGGCTTATTTATTTATGGATGCCCCTGTGATATATCCAGGGATCACAGATGTTTGGGCAGCCTTCTGATAGAGATCATCTTTTTCTTTCATAATGTTAAGAACGTCAAGCCCTCCTGAAAAAGTAGAAAAAATCAGGACATCAATTAGCACATTTTCAATTCCTTAAAAAAACTTCAACTTTTCAAAATATAATAAGAATCCTGAGTATCCAACACTATAGTTTCTGCATAAAAGCAATCCTGACACATTAACTCTTAACCCCTATCACCTGAAAATATTGCCTTAGTTATCACTAAATTGAGATATTTTTAGACGGGGAAATCTTGTGGATTCTCAGAATGCACTTTGGTTGTAAGAATATCTTCACAAGAGCGAAGCAGAAGGAGGTCTCACACAGTCAAAAGCAGTCATTGAGATCACAAGAGACAGAGGCTGGAACCATGCAACTACAAGTGCGGAAATGCCAGAAGCAATCAAGGCCAGAAATGACAAAAACTGTCTCCTTCTTGAGCCTCCAGGGACTCACTTGCCTGCTGACACCTTGATAATGATATTGATGTTGGTTCCTCACCTCCAAAGCTATGAAAGCACAACCATCTGTGGTTTCAAACTACCATTTATTTCTATGCTAATTTTTTATAACAACCACAGGGATTGCTACATCCACTAAGATACTCTCAGTTCTTTTAGAAGATCATATACACACAGGAACCTATTTTTAAGAGACAACAGCTCAATATCTGGATAATTTTTTAGGTCCTAAATTAGGAAACCATGGGTGCTGCCCACAGAGGGTAGAGATGAGTAAGCCAGTTCCATTCTGTGTACCCAAGTACCACAAGTAATTTGAGAATTTGCAGATTAAGTTATGAATATGATCTTGTGTAATTACTTGACACATCATGTGCAATTTAGGTAAATATTTTCATTAATATTTAATAAGATTATTTTTCATTGTTTTAATGTTACATAAACTTTTTTACTTAAAGGACTCAAACTTTATATTAAGAATATTGTTAATATGTAAATACTGCCTACATAGAAATAGACTCATCTTGACAATGACTCAATTATTTTTAGCTTTTGTTTCTATTTTGATAGGCTTCCACGATAGAGATACTTCAACTTATGGGGATTATTAGTTTTCACAGAGCTAAACTCCTGTACATATTGAAAGTGGGTGTTATGCAAATAAAGAATAAAGATTAGGCTAAGATTTATGGTTAGCTTAATTCCAATTACAAACTATTTAAAAAGATATTTTCAATCATTGTGGTTGAAATCTTTGAAACATTCTATAAATTATGTATTTTTTTATGAATGCTTTTTGATAAAATGGCTACTTGAAAAGCTTGACCTCTAAAGACAACCTCCTTTAAGTGATCTGAACGTGAAGTTTGTGCACTGTGATTTTTACATGTGCAAAAGTATTACTAGGAAAAAACAGTTTCATAAAAACTGTAATGGAATAAACTATCTCTCAGGAAACAGTACAACTTCTTTCTTGCATATGAACCACTTCATGATGTAAATTACAAGGTTTCAACCCAAATTAAGTCAAGTCAAAGCTGAAGAAAAATTATAGGATCCTTCCAGACAACATGTAAAAACTACATGCCTAAAAATTCCAATGAGTACAAATTATTTGGTGTGAAATTTCTTTTTTTAGTTATCTTATCACATTTAGATTTTTCAAAATCGATAAAAATAGCTATAGTTTAGCCTTTAATTTTGCATATATACCTCCCAAGAAGATATGAGTCCACCAATTATATATACATATATGTAATTTTAAGTAACATCAAATCATATTTTTGGCTGATAAAATTAGCATTGCCAAGTTCTAGTTTACACATTAAGACCTGAAAGCCTAGGAACAGAAACTTGAGTAGGCATCCAATACAAATTGCTCCTGTTAAATTCAGCCAAAGTGAGAGTTATAGAATGTTGGCAAGATCGTGTGCTAGAAGATTAAAAAGTGTTGCTGTGAATTCTGGAGGATCTAATTCTGTTGAACACTAAGAAAAGATATAAATCACTTCTACTTTATGTATTCTTTATTGGCTCATTCAGATGTCTTGAAAAAAGAATACACTTGGAATGAAAGAGAAATTTAAATTCTATCATATTAATACTAGATATTCTTACAGCATTAATTCATTTCTGACAGATGATGATTTATTAAATGGAGAGTCTCTAAATACATGATGACATTTTACTTCAAGTGTAATTTATGGGCACTAAAGCTATTTTTTAAAGCTGTGTGAGTTCACTGCCTATAAATTTAGATAACTATTCTGTGTTTTCCACTGCATTATCAGCTATTTCATAAACCTTTTGGATGTTACTAAAAGGTAAGATTGCTTATTAATAACTTATAAATTATAAACAAATATTAAATTACTTTAAAACTTGCGATTTACTAGACAAAATAACTTAAACCAAATTGTTGGAAGGTTTCTAATCATCTGATTTAAAAAAAAAAAAAAAAAAAAAAAAAAAAAAAAAAAAACTATTTTGAGTATTACCCAAGAGAAAATTCCCATTAAAAAACCACTGATGGAAGAGAAGTTTTGGGGTTAATTCTAAAACATAGGAAGATAGTATCTTATTTTTAAAAATATATCATTTTAAACTTCCAATATACATTGGAAAATACATGAAGAAAATAAAAATACATTTTGTTTAACGTTCTGTACACATTGAATAACTTTCAAATCCTTACATAAAATTGCCGGAGACTTTTACATTTTTTTTTTCTTCCACTGATTATCCAGCCAAGTCCCACTTTTTTCTACAGATCTCAGTTTGCTTTTGTTCAGTGTGGCTTTTTGTACAGCATGTCACCCGACATACATTTACCTGATATGCATTTTCACTGTTTTCTCCCCTTCAGTTCTGTAAATTCAACAGTTGGTGTTCCGTTATGCATGACATTTGCCTTGCATTTCCACAGGACCTTTGGCTCAGTTGTAAACCCATGTCTGTCCTTATCCATAAAGACCTAATCAGTTAGTAAGAGGCATTCAGTTACTACAGCTATTTTGAGTGGACGCATTATGGAAGGACTGTGTGAGTGAAAAGCACACTGAGATTGAAAGTTTATGATTTTAGATCATCAGTACAGTGTAAGATTCTGTGATTTGCATACGTTGCAGAGAGTACAGATTAGTAAAAATTCAGAGTTAGTATCTCCATTTTATGTATCACTATTAGGAAAGAGACTCAAAACTGATAAAGAACATGAATGCTGAATTTTACAGATGCTCTCGTTTCTGACATAAAACAAATTTTATCAACTTTTGAGTCCCTAATTCTTTCATATCATTTTAGGAATATAAATTGCTTTACCTTTTTGGAATAGAATTTATACACAACTCATCAAAATACAAAGTGTACATGTACTGTCACCTCGCAATTTCAAAACCAGGTGAAAATACATTCACTACACTTAAATTGTACATAAACTTTCTTTTGGAGAATGTTTAAACAGATTATAGTATGGTTGACTATATAACTATTTAAATCTATGACACTTGACAATATTGACATTCAAGAAGATTCCAAATATATTAATCAATAAAACAAAACACGTTGCAGAACAATATATGAATTGTAATCATACTGCATGTTTTGTATACATACTCAAATGTACATGGATGTACATTTTCATTTATAATTCAGCAAAAATTTCTGGAAAAATTCAGCTGTTAGGCAGGAGGTATAGAGGACAAATAAGATACACAAGGTTTTGTTTCCATACTGTAATATAATATAAAGCAATGTTTGAAGGAAATCATAAAATGTTCTTGAAGAAGGCACCTAAGGGTTTTAATAATGCATATTTGATCCAAGACCGAGAGGTATAATTAAGAAAGAAGTATGAAAATTTTTCATAACCTACTCTTCATATTTCAGTATAAAGTGTTTAAACTTGATCCCAACCCTTATGTATTCATTTTAAACTGAAAACAAAAACATTAATTCCTATGCTGGAAAACTTTAGCTACCTTATACAGCTCATTTTTCTCAAAAATTTCCTAAGTTATCATACATCATAATATACTTTAACTTGAAACTTAGTAAAAATTTTTGTGGTTTTGTTCATTTTCACTCTCAGAGTATTTTCTAAACTCCCATGATTGCTTCCAAAAGATTATAAATTATGTTGAAGGAAGATTATCTTATTAACCTTAATAGCCTGAAACACCTAGTGTTTTAGGTAAGTGATTTCCAAAAGGTTAGAAAATATATATCTTGATAGTCTCAGAAATTATCACTTTAAATAATTCCATGATTTTAGATAAAGTAGCCAATTTTCTTAAACAGTTGAAATATGTTGCTGTTGTTTCTCACTGAGAGAGCTATTGAACTATTTTAATGTTTCTTGATACATGAAAGAGAAAATATATAGTTTCATTTTAGTTCTACTAAAATTCTCTGCCCACATACAATGACTCTTAAAATATCTATGTTCTGGATCTCAAGCAATACATAAAACAGGATCATTTGTTTGATTAAAAGGTGACAGATGTTAAGTATTTTTGTTTGCCAAGCAATCTCATAAATTTGACCATATGTGAAAAATCGTTTGGGGATCAACAGAACAGAATTCTGTCTAATAACCTTTAACATTCCTACCAAATAAGTCTAACACCAAGGGATAAAATCCACCTATTCCATAATCTAAATGTCTGTGGTGTTTAGTGAGGATCAGAGTAAGGATTTATATCTTAATATCCATGCCTAGTCAAGAATTTCTGGGATCAAATAGGTATTAACATCAAAAGTAAAATAAAAGCTAGGATTTCCCAAAATGTTATTTATTTAAATGTGAGGCAAAAGTAGATTATTAAAGAGGCTTAAAGGAAACATAAATTTCATTCACTGGGAAATGGATTGAAATACTATAGAAACCCAGAAACTAAATGTTCTTACTCACAAGAAAGAAGTTCACAACAGTGACACCCTAGTGACAGTGAGAAGAATTTGGAATATAAAAGGAAGTCCTTGTGAGCTAATCATTTCATTTAGTATATTATTTCTCATTATGTATGCTAGGTGTTAAGGTCCAATCAGGAGATAGAAACTACCCTGGGTTAAACAGGTTAAGCATAGAGCTATTACAGTGTAAGACATAGCTATAAGACACAAGGAACTTCTATGGCACTGTAGGCATGGGAAAGATCCAAAAAGGACAAACAGGTAAACTGGTAGTGGAGAGTCCTTCCTCAAACCAAGTCCAAGTTCAGACCTACAGAAAAAGTCGAATTCAGCCCTAAGAACAGCAAGTTGTCAGCTTTCCCAGGGCTGTAGGAGGTCATAGTGGCTGAGGCAGAAGCAACAACCCTCTGAAGCAGAAGTGAGAAACAGGACAAGCAAACCAGGTGGCACACATATGCACGCACACATGTGCATGCACACACACGCACATGCACACACACATACCTTAGGGTGAGAAGTCTCCAGTATACCTGTGGGCAACTCTATGGTTAAAGCTATGGAAGGACCATGTGTTCTGTGAGCATGGCTGGGGCAGAGCTCCCTGAGGGCCTGTTCCCCTGCCTATTCAAGCAGCACCCAGAAATGCAGAAGAGGCCTTTCTCTGGACAGATTCTCATAGGACAAGTGTTTGTTTTAAATTAGATATGTTTGAAGGGATTCTGTATGCTGTTGGCCAGCATAAGCTTAAAAGGTGAATTTGGAACTGGGCATAAATCACCAACTAGGATGATAACTCACACAATTTGTATTAGAGAAGCATAATCTGAAATGTGTACAATGTCTGATAAGGTGCGATAAAAAATTAGCACAGCAGAGGAGCATCATATGAGAGGAAGCTCCCGTCCAATAGAGAGTCCACAACAGTGGGAAATGTGATTCAATTTTATTTTTGATTACAAAAATATATGCAATCAAAAACATAATAATTCACTTTAGGTATCAGAGCCCAGTGTAGGACAAGATTAAATAAATAATTCACTTTTCTCTATTCCTTTCGACCAGAGTTTACAAAAGACTCTTTAAATTGTTGGAACTCTAATTCAATCTCAAATGTTTCAACTCCCTATCCTAACAGTGACCCTAAAGAGTTCTTATTGTCCTGTTTCCAAGCCACAAAGATGCGTACAAGCTTGACAGTAGTATCCACAGACCACCTCTTTACCCTCAAAGGATGCTTTAAACTCTCCAAAGATGAAGACTGAGAGGTTGCAGCTGCGTTAGCAACATTCTACAGCAGCGAACTCCTTTACTTCACCAAGAAGAACCCATTAGTAAGAGATTTGCAATCAAATCTCTCACCCATCACCCATCGCCTGTGAGATTCTTTTGACCACTGGCTACAGTGTTTTGTTTTGTTTTGTTTTGTTTCGTTGTCAGTCATCTTATTATCAAACACGATGCTTTGCAGTGTCACCAACAAGATGGATTTCTTGCTACACGAACTCCTGTGTGTTCACTGAGAATCTCGATATTCCCGTGGTAAAGAAGTGTGATGTATCAGGACGGGATGCACAGTTACCCCTCACGTGCTCCTCTTCCTCCTCCCAGTGCTCGGGCTGTCCTGCCCTGCAGATGACAGCCTGCGTCCGGAAACACTTCAGGAGGGGCGAAGATGACTTCAATTGCAAGAGCGGCCGGGGAATCTTCTTCCCAGCCTGGAAAGCTGAAAGGAGATGACTTTCAGGCCCTGAAGGAGGAGCTGAACCACGTAAAAGAAAAAGCGGGTTCTTCACTGGAAAGCCTGCAGAAAATTGAAAAGGAACAGAGCAGAGAAGCTGTAGAGCGGAAGAATGGAGGCTCAAGGGGAGCAGAGGAGCGCCCCCCTGCGGAAGGAGGAGACCGCTGTGGAGACGGAGACCCCTGCAGCTGCAGAGCGCTGGGGAGGAGCAACTGCTGGGCCACGAAGGTGGGGAAGATGAGGCTGAGACCAGCTGGAGCTGATCAAGGGTGTGAAAAAGAGACTGAGAAAGGAGAGGGTGACCGAGGCAGCGCCAATGGTGAGGATGGCTCCTGCGCACACGGTGGGGTTTAGAAGTCTTGCTCATAATTTTTTCACACAGGTAGGTGCTTGTCTAAGATGAAAGTCCCACCAGATGCCCTCCCCTAGCACCTTGAGCACATGCTCGCGCGCTCCCGACCTCTGTCCTTCCTGTGCTGCTGATTGCACCGCACCTGGTCCCATTTTCTCTTCCTCTGATGCTTCTAGTAGTTGTTTAAATCTTACTCTGAGATTATTGCTTTTTTAATGTTGATACATGTTTATGACTTCAAGATAAAAATATTGCATGGTATTTTTTTTCTATCAGCTGTTTGCCCAGTTGCCTCTCCTTGCAATGATTACACTTATTTCCATTCTTACACGATTTCAGTAGTTGCTTCCCTAACCTCAAAGACAGTCTTAATTAGTTGGAGCATTTGAGTGCAGCTTTGAGTAAAGCGGGTGTGTGCACGCACGCACGAGTGTGTGTGTGTGTGCACAAGTGTGAGTGTTTTACAAATGTATCAAGTACTGGTAGGACTGCCGAACCCAAATGTAAAAATGTATTTTTGGGGATCAGAGTCAGTGTGTCAAATGTATCCTCTAGCAAATTATTGTAACAGTCTTTATTTGTTTTCTAAAGCTGATACTGTGGGTTATTTTTGTGAACAACTTGGTGTTGGGGACCTTTATCATCAAAATAAATAAGTCCTTGTTAAACCAGAAATTTGGGAAAAAACAACAAAGCAAAACAAAATAAATAAAATGTGCAAGGCTAATCAAAGCCTCTGCAAAAAGAACCCATATTCTTAATACATAGATGAACTTAATGTACTCATTCATTTTTATAATTGCACTTGAGTTTCATCATGAAGACCTGAATATTGAAATCCAAGTGGATGTAGCATATGAAATATAAATCATTAGTTTAAGTAGATAAGATGGGTCATACCATAAATTTTGCATAAAATAATTTTTCCAGGCACATTTTTATCCTTTTTAGACATCTGCTAATTATAATTATTCATCTCAAAAGTAAAGGTGAACTGCAGATTATTAGTAAAATAGCATTCAATGTCATTTTACTCTATAGAATGAATTTATTAAATGCAGTATGCTTATAGATATTATACTAGATAAATGGTAAAGAATCCCAGAGATACTTACCCAGTGAACACCATAAAAAGATTAGAAACATTATAAAAATTTCATACTCAACAAAATTGTATGTTGACAATTTTTTTTTTGTAAAAAACAATCCCAATGATAAGCCTGAGAAAGACAGAGAGATAGACTCAACTGACATACAAAAGCCAGTATCACTATAAATACCAGTAGATTTTAATGAGATTTGACAAAAGATATGATCAGTGACAATAACAATTGTATTTCTGAGGGAGGAGATTATCAATTATGAATACTTATTCACTGTTATATGATAGGTCATATTTTTAGAGTAAAAGCACTAAACAAGTCACACTAGGTTTGGATACTCTGGGGATTATAAATTAGTAAGGAAGCATATGGGGAAGGAAATAAAGAAAGGAAATTGAAGGAAAGAATTATCAGACAAAGGTAAGCAATAAATACTATATAACTTGAATGGTACCACTAGAAATATTTTTAAAAATACCAGTTCATATTTAGATGTATTTTAGAGAAGAGACAATGAGACTAATATAATCAAATAGCTATAGAAAAATAAATGAAATAAGTATGATCATACACTATTTAATTACCAGTTATGGAGGTGAGGCCGTGCCCTAGATTATGAATCTAGTTTATAAGTAGCAGCAACTTTGGGAGAGATGAAAAATGGCGAGTAGTCAAGGGTGCAAATTTCAATATATAAAAAGTGAGACAGTAAGGAATGGAACAGTATATTCTTTTTTCTCTCATTCTTTGCTTTTGAGAACCAAAAAGGTAGAAGGGACTGTAAGCTACTCTTGATTATGTGTCTGCTGTTTCACATCTCTTCACATAGTCTCCACTTTGTATTATTGGAAGCTGAGTAAACTGATGTTATGTAACACTTGCGAGTCATTTATGTAAATTCCAATTCTGCAATAAACTGAGATGAAGCACAAAAAGTTTGAATGTTTGTTGGTTAATGATTCAAACACATCAACTTAAAAGTTAATAATGAAAGTCAAAAAACTGTTACAGAGTCATGGGTTAATGTGTATTAATAATATGTAATATGTATTATCAGTTTTGCTCAATATGCTACAGTGTTTTCAGCTTGTGCTGTATATTGAGCAATACTGAAAAAGGTAAAGTGAAAGAAGAATCAATTACAACTTTTGTCTTGGTTGAAATCACTGGTAACATTTACCAGAAAAGTTTGAGTAGGATGTTAGGCTTAAACTTGATAAAGAGATGAAAAACTAGTTGTATGGTTAAAAGAAAAAAGAAGTTAACCAAGTTAAAGATTCTTGGAATTCTAGCCATAAATAAAAGAGAAATGGATGTTAACTACAGAAGAGTGTTGGACTCCCTGTGGGGAATTTATGATAGTGGACAGTAAAGTAAGCTTGTGTGTTCATTAAGATCCTGTGGCTGGCTGAAGTTACAGCGTGTGACTGGAACAGGTGCGGATGGGTGAGATCTCGTGATCCCAACAGGTCTGGACTTCAGTATGTACAGAGAGAAATGCATCCATGGTAACCGAGAGTTCATGTATAAATATTGAAACAAGTAAGAGGGACGATTGTTGTGGTGGGAAGATCATTTGCTTCCTTGCTATTTTATATTTCACAAAACTCATATGTTAACCTAGGTAGAAAATAAGACTATCCATCATGGTATGAATGTGACCAGAGAAACATAGATTAGATTAAGAAAACACTGAGATGAGAAAAGGTAAAAGATTGTGTGTGGCAGGAGAGAGATGCCAGCAGAGAGCTGTTTCCTTCTTGACTCAGATTTTGAGTCCAGCTCATTTAATCAGTGAGTCATGAGTGTTTTGACAGGAGGATTTCTGGAAAGTTTGAAGCCAGAGAGTGATATTTTCTAATGAACAGCTTGAGCAAATCACTTCACGGGCTGTGTGGGAAACAGTTTTTAGGAGAGAAAGACAGAAAAAAAAGAAATTATGAAGCTATGACTGCAGGGCAGAGAACACATGATAACAATGCGGGCTGAAATGGTTATTAGTGAACATGGAGAGAGAGGGTCCATTCTGTGATATTCTTCTGGGGTGCATTCAGTGGGGTTGGATGATATGGGAGTGAAACTTATTAAGAAATGAAGAGTACTTTCTACATTTTATCCTGAAACAAATAAACACTAGAAGTTATTGAGACATTGAAGATAATTAAGGTGCAGAGCACAGTAAAACATGAAAATCAATGTTTTGATCATCTGGAATTTGAGTTGTTCACCTTATTGGAGGTGACAAATTTGGGCCTGGTGGCAGGTAGGGGTCTACCTGGATATGTGGGTTTTGCATTTCTTAACACACAGAATTTAAAGCTGTTAGTCTAGAATAAGTCATTCAGGATGACAGAATGTAAGAAAAGAGAAGAGAAAAAATGATGCCCCATGACAATTCAAGCTAGAGCAAGAGGGGAACCAAAGGAAAAGTAAGGAGCCCCAGTGATAAAGGAAGTAGAGAGAAAGTGACAAGAAGTCCTTGTGTCACCAAGCTAAGAAAAAAGATTAAGAACTAAGTTGAAATCAGTCTCTGATGCTGGAGAAAGTTCAATAAAGAAAATGAAAGCATTTTTTAATTAATATGGTCATATATGGCCTTGATAATTATTTCAATGCGCTGATTGAAAAAGATATCACAGGCTAGAGAGTTATGAAGACAATGAACAGTACATAAATCTACACCCTCTAAATACAAATGATTTTATCAAGAAATAACTGAGAGACAAAGAAATGGAAGCCAGAAGATATATAATGAAGAGCCATTAAAAGTTTGAAAGACAGATTAAACATTCAAAAATATATTTGAGTACTCATGAGAACAATTGAATGCAAATGGATGATTCTATAATGGAGAGTGATATTTTAAAAGGTACATTGTTGAGAATGTAACAAGTAATGGAAATCTAGCACAAAATTGGAGGGCGTGGCCTTGATAGACATACATAAATCTTCTGAATTAGACAAAGCCATGGAGCTTGTGCAGAGACAAAAAAGTTGCATGATGGTAAGATAGGATTGTGCCTAGGCAATAGTTTTTTTTTTTTTTTTTTTTTTTTTTTTTCTAACCTAACTGCTTAAAATAAAATGAAGTTATTTCTTTTCTGATAGAGCAACAAAATCTCAAATGCACGAATTATCTTTATAATTAAACTGGCAAAGTCATAATGGTCACTATTCTTTTTTCTGAATAGCAATAGTAGATCTAAACTGCAATTACTTTTTCACATTCTTGCTTGATTAGAAAACTGCCAATAAGGTGGCGTACAGGATTGATTTGGAAAGCCACACCTAAGATCACATCTGCTATCTCTTAATTTGGTTTAGATTCCATGATAGCTTTTTACTGGAGATGTTGTCCCTTGAAGTGATAGTAAGAAAGATGATAGGAGTTTGTATCATGTTCTCTTGTTTAAACATCAACATCTCTTTCAATAAGCTTGTGTTGTGAAAGGCTCATGTGTCATTTTGGTGATCCTTGCAATGAATTAAAATAAGATTTTTCACTTTATGGAAAAAAATAAGTAAATATAAGCCATCATCAATGTCATTGATGGAAGAGAGTTTAGGCAAAAAAAAAAAAAAAAAAAAAAAAATCTTGCCTGTATGGACTGAGTGTTTCACAGTATTAAGGCAAGATCTTGGCAGAAGGATGATTCCTTAACAGAAGAACTTAAAGAAACAGAAGAACTTAAAATCTAATTGACTTAACGAGGCAAGATCTTGGCAGGAGGGTGATTCCTTAACAGAAGAACTTAAAGAAACAGAAGAACTTAAATCTAATTGACCATACTATTGGCTTCGTTACAGTGACTCACAAAGTGACTTACTCTACAGTGACCCATAATTACACCCATAATTCCCTCTCAGTCAGACTTTTCATCCCTAATCTTATCCCTAAAAGGTACTAAAATAATATGAAGTACTTGAAACACAAAAGAAGACTATTTGCTTGTAAAATAGAAGGAATTTTAGTTTGCTAAGCCAATGACTTGTTATATATACACACACACAAATTCAGGGGCAGACTTCTATATTTCTATTTTACTGTTCCTTTGTACAGAGCCAAAAGTAAACATTATGAAAATGTGCATCCCCACTGGATACTATACTTTAAAAGTTAATAGTTTGTCAGAAAATGAGTGTCTTTTTCGAAAATCTGAAAGGTTCGGATTCAAAGCAGAATTTTATAAGAAATGGAAATGAGTATCTCCCATACAATAAAAGTCTCACTTAAATTAAACTGAGTGAATCAAGTGCATCAATCAGCTTCTAATTATTTTATGTAGTAGGAAATTTCTATTTTGCATCCAGAATGTCACTCAATGTTCCAAATGCTAAGAAAATCAAGATGAAGTGAATAACTAGGCTCATAACATTAGTTATACCTTGTATTCTGTATAATGTTGTGGCTTGGCATAACTGACATCATCTCAAGCCATGCATTTAACTAGTGCCCTGTAGTTGACTCAGGAGAATGGAAAATTACCTAGAGTATAATCCCATAAGAAAAGCAAGATGAGCTGTACCCATAAGAGAAAAATTAACCTTCTCAACAAGATTCTAACTAAATTGTTTCCCCCAGGACATCTTTTAGTGTTTCTCTATTTTAAAAGCTCTCTAACTTTACAGTTTGGGTCAACTCCGTGGGATTCTGAATCAGAGGGTGTCTGTATACGAGTGTATGAGTCTTAGTTCAGCTAATAAAATTCCAAATTTATCAGTGTGGTGGTTTGTATTCCTATATTGCTCATGAACCCACTTCATATAACACATATACTGTAATATCTCTTTTGTAGACCACTAAGTATAAGTTGAAAATCATAATTTTTTCCTCTCTTCTTCTTCTGTATTCCTTTCTCATTTCTCTCTGCTAAACTTAATCTAATTGAACGATCTCAACTAGTACAGGGGTGTCAAATGCAACGTTCACAGATATCAAATTATACTGTACTTAATGGATTTTCTTTTGTTTTAATTTTTATTTTGAAAGTATACAACAGAACAAGTCAGAATAAAGCCACCTAAGATCGTACAGTGAAATTGGTACAGAACTTCACAGCAGGTTACCGGGATAACAGTAATAGGTATCACAGTATATTTTGTTATCTTTATAATAGTTGTTCTTTCAATCCTATATATCAAAATGAGATGAAATATAGAACACTATAGAACTTATCAAAGCAGAATATTGAATAGAGCAGTACCATTAATCAGAAAAGAGCAAAACAGTAATAAAAATATTTGCCTTCAAAGAAATGGTAGAAGGAAGTCCCCCTTATTTGCTATGGTCAACCTCCCAGGAGATGCTCAGATTTCTGGTTCCCACTTGCTAATGGGTGGGGAGGAGGAGGAGAAGGAGGATCAGGGAAGTGGGATATTTGACTCTAGGCCATGTAGCAGTAGGTTCACTATTGCTAAGCAGGGAGGCAGAATGGTCATTTGTTTTCACAGCGTCCTCAGTTCCTACATGGCGTGGATCTCAGGAGACACTGCTGGTTCTCCCCCTGAAGGGCTGCAGTCTGCCACCCTGCCTCTGCTTACCAGGGAGGGGAGGTGCTGGCTTGGCTTCCCAGAGTCCTAAGTTCCAACATGGCATGGAACTCAGGAGACACTGCTAGTTCTCCCCCTGGAAAGGCTGCAATGGGCCACACTACCGCCGCTTACCATGGATTTTCTTAAGCTCTCCATTACTGCAGCACTAAAGGTAGCCCCTGTTCAGGTTCAGAGTTTAGATGTGAGCTATACATTAAAAACTGCACATTTACAACATTCTAATTCTGGAGATAAATAAAATTTCAAATAGGATGATGTGTTCTTTCTGCAAATTTCAGGAAAAAAAACTTTCTCTGACCTTCCCGAAGCCATCTATACCCATTAGCTCACAACTTTCTTCCTCTTCAGTTCAGCCATGTAGTATTCTCAACTCTCTTTCTTTCTATCCCTCTGCCTCTGACTTCTGTCTGTGTAAGGATCCTTGTGAATACAGCATAGCTCCAACTGACTGAGAAAGTCTTTCCATCTCAGTGTCCTTAATTCCCTCTGCAAAGTTCCTTTTGCCATGTTAAGTAATATACTCACATATTCCACAAATTGGTGTGGAATCTGTGAACGAGCATCATTATCACAGGCCACAGCCCTTATTTTCCTCTTTGCATAGCAGTAACCCAGCTGTTTCTTGATGATCTGAATCAAACCTCACAAACATCAATGCAAGCAATTTCTACCTGTTGAGTCATTAATACAAAGGATCCCAGAAACATTCATCAGAGTACAGTGTAAGCTTCTAGTTTAACAAAATCACATCTCAGCCTCCAAATATATTGAGTTCAAAGCTATAGACCAAAGAAGCAAAAGTCTCACAAGTGGATCATTACATCTAAAAGAGAAAGACATCTCTTCTGATTATATCCTTTAGTTGCTGGACTCATGTTTTATAAAAGAGGAAAGTAACCCTGTATATTAATAGATTGTGCTATCTAGAATGAGTCAGCATCTCATGTTGTTACCCTCGGACAGATTTTTGACTGAGTACACTGAACACTATTTCATCATAAATAAGTCTGTGTTAATGTAAGTGTATTTCATTAGTGGAAGTTTATTTTAGAACAAACATTTAGTGGCTTAAATAGTATGCCATTTTTTAAAATGAATTATTTAATCTATTGGAAATATTATGTGATCAATATGTTCACCACAAATAGTCTAATGGTGTGCAGAGTTCATGATAATAACTCATGAGGCAAGGTAATATTTTAGAAATTTCACTAATTTAATATTAAAAATTAAGGTTTAAATTTATCATGAGAAAGTAAATCTTCAACTGATCCTTTTATCACTACTGTAAAAAAAGTTCTAGTTTCCTAAAAGCATTCTTGCATCTTGCAAATTAGATATTTGTACACATCTATATAGTTAAGGTGTCTGTTTTCTCTGGTCAAAAAGGGTAATAAAGTCTCTGTTATTGCTAAAAGATTCATAAAGTTGCAGCCTGAAATAGGTCACCCTGTCAAGCTTTCAAAATGGCAGAGTATGAATCTAAATTTTGGGATAATTTTCATTCTAGGAATGCTTGTCTGTCTCCTCCAGAAAAATGAAGAAAATCACTGTTCTTTGTCCTTTGCCTAGGAAGTCTGGGCCCCTCTGTCCTCTGCATGGATGAAGACCCTTCCATCCACACAGCTGACAGTGGAGCAGCCTGCTGAGCGCTGTCCTGGCTCTCTTCCTCACCATGTTCCTGGTTCCCAGGCAGTGGCTCTGTCAGTATGGCCACTGATGTACAAGTGCTTTGCGGATTCTCTGTTTACTGCCTCATCTCACTTTTAGGGAAGCAACCAAGTGTTTGATCTGGATATTACCATGACACCCATGTTGAGGTAAAACAATGAAGTTTCATGCATTGTACTATTACTTGTTCTATGCATGTTAAAAAGCCTTTATATCACTATATCTACAGGAGGTATGTGAGTGAATATATATATATATATATATATATATATATATATATATCTTTGCAAATTACCTAAGTATTTACCAGTACAGCAGTGATAAAAGTATTTTGAAAGTTTAGTAACAATGATAATGGAAGAAAAGCTATAAACACAAAAATAAATCCATATAAAATATATGGCTATATTTTAATGCCATCTTCTTGAAAAAGGGATGAATAAAGTCAATCTCGGCCTCTACGAAGTGCAGATGCAAGAGTGTCTCAGATTTGAACTTTGCCATAAATGAGTTTGGCATTCCTCTATACAATTTCACCAAAGCAGAATCTCTAGTGCAAAGATTTCCATCTTAAGGTCAGGAACAGCCTCCATTTTTGTCATTTAAATGACGCATCTACCCAAATTACCAGTCCAGGAAGCTAGATCACCTATGTAAAAACTTTTTCATCTTTTTAATCTCAGAGAGTTTTTAAAAATGCTATTAAAACATGAAGAATCATTTACATAGCAACATTAGCCAACACTGTAATTAAGACATTAATCCAGGGATTTTCTTGCGTATTTCACACTGAGTAGGATTAGACATTGTAAGAAAAATGAATACAATTAAAAAGATTTAAATAGGAAATTGACTGTCATTATCTTAGCCAGTGGCATTAACATCTTATATAAAGAACTGAAACAATAATTTACAGAGTGACTGTTGGAGATGTGTGGCGATGTTTTAAGGAGACAGTTATTTTTATCTGGAATGATGATTTTCTTAACTGAAGTAAAGATGCTTGTACAATGCGCTGATGAACTCCCTCAATGCCTCTATTTATGGACCCACAAATTGCTCAGGTTTGTCAGAGTTATATTTGAATTTCAAGTTCTCTTTAATGCTATGGCTGTTAGGGAGGCATGCCAAGCATACTATCAATGCTCATCTTTATTTTGTAAATCTTGAAATTAAATGTCCACTAATAGCTGATATTTCTTCAAGGACAAGTATTTCAAATTAAATATGTAAATTTTAGAAAAGGTTACAAATAAAAGTGAAGCTTCTAATTCTGACAGAATGTCTTCCTCTCCTCGCTTCCTAATGCTGTTTACTGTATGGTACTCATTTTGGTTGTTGTATTTTGTTTTATAAGCACTCTATCAGTGAGCTACATCCCCACTATGATATTCCTTATCTCTAAGGAATCCTGGTCATTACCACTTACAGGCACCTCTCACATACACTATGTGTATCATACCTTAGAGTAAATGGAAGCCAATTATACTAAAAACCAGTGCTTACTGGACCAGTGAAGTATTGTAGTTTTTGTGAGTTTTAACTAGACAAAGTTGCCATTTTTGTAGATCAAATACAATGGTAATTTCTTAAAGTTCAATCAATAGTTTGTGCTCACTCCAGCATAAGAATTAGGTTAGGTAATTAAGAGCCGATGTGGATTTTTTGCGAAAGGCACCCATGAGTTAAATTAGTGTTCCAGATAATTAAAATATCACACTGAGATCGAATGTCACAATGAAGAGAGAAATTTAAAGGTTGGAAAGAATCCAAAAAATACAGAAATTTTATTAATAGTATCATCTGAGCATATATAACATCTCACATGTTCAACTAGTTGATTTACTAATTTAAAAATATCCAGTAAGTAACATGGTTGTTGTAGTCAATGGTAGTGTGGAGGACAATTAGAATCAGAACAGAATTTATAATATTATTTATTATGGTCACCCAGAGTTAACATAAGAAAGTGCAGGAAATCTGAACACAACACTAAAGACATAATATTCAGTCAAAGGTCTGAATCCCACAGCAATGTCGCGCATGAGTCCAGATGGAAACATAGAGCCCACGAAAATGCCTCCCACAAGTCCAACTAGAGGTCTAGAGCCCACAAGAAGGACTAACGCCAGTCTCTTTTACGGATCCGTGCTGGGAAGGCCCAAAGGTCAATGGTAGAAGCTAGAAAGTCTATGCCAGTGGGGTAAAGGAGGTATGCTGGTAAGTTAAGGGTTCTATGCTGGAGCCAATGAGTCACACTCAAAACAAGGGCCAGAGCTGTCCTGAAAAGCACCACAGCCATCCTCAGTGACACAGAGGAGACCCCGAGGTCCTCCAACAATAAGCACAGTCAGGTACATGCGAGAAAGCCAGTGTGATGAGTTCATCTTGGAAATTAAATGCCACATGTCTTCCCCTCTGGAGCCAGGAAGCTTCGCTGGATGTAAGAACCAGAGCGCCTCCAAAGTGAACCACACACACTCTCACCAACAAGTTCCTGAGCTTCTCTAATGACAATGGTCAAACTCACCTTGGGAAGCTATGCATGATGAGCTCCTCCAGGAGAACCAACAGCTCAAACAGCAACATATAGGAGGACCAACCATGCCTCTCTTCTCCTCCTCCACGTCTCTACTTATGCTGGTAACTTTCCTCAGGTGGAACATCTACACTCAGCACCGGGCTGATTTAATATAGCTGACATTAAGTTGACCATCAGTTTTTAATCCATTGCAGTGCTGCAGTTTAGTATTAGGCATTTGAGATCTCGTACATTCTGGAATGTTGAAACAGTGCTTTTCTTCCAGGAAGGCAGAGAAATCATTGACCGCCCTTGGCTAGATACTGTGCTCGGGCTGTTGTATGAACCTTTTCATCTAATTGCCATTAACTTTGTGATATCTTGTCCTAAGTTTTTCAGGAGAGGGGAAAGCAAAGGACCATAAATTGCCTGAAGAGACGTAACTGATAAATAGCAGACATGGGACTTGAATTCACATCCTGAATTCACATCATTGAATAAATTCAAAATACAAGAATAGAATAAGATCACATTGAGAAGTCCAATGATCAGTAACACACCATAGAGAAAAACAGAACAGACAGTGAACTTTTTAAAACTTTGGCAAGGCTTGCCAGTGGGTTTGGATCACTGCAAGTTTAACAGACCAGAGAGAGTATTTGCTTCGATTGGATATTATAAGCATGTTTTCTCCATAATCTCAACCTTAAAATCCCCCCAACTGTAAAATTACTATAAATGAGAGTTCAATGACCTGTGAAATATTGTTTGAAAGTGAAACTTAGTTGTGAGTTGAAAAGCATAAGCACCAAGAGTACTCTTGTGTCCTCCTCCTCTACTCATTTGGAATCAGCTCATCTATTCAACAAACATCTTCACAAATTTTTCACACACAGGACCATAGTTTGTGAAAGGCAAGTTTCACATAGTTTGAGAATTACTGTTGCAGCTTTGTTCAGAAGCTCAAGGTACAAAAAAAAAATAAATAAATAAAAAAAAAATAAAAATAAAGAAAGAAAGAAAGAAAGAAAAAGATTGCAAAGAGTAACACATCTCTAAACTTAAACTGTAATTCCAAAGGATTCCACCATCCTTTAGCATAATCATTAGCATGGTGATTGTAACAAAATCGACTTGATTCGAAGAAAAATATGTGCAAGGATTAAAAGCTAAAATATTTTTCTTGTATGTGCACATTCATGTGGAACATTTTTATTTTGTAAGAAAATGATTTCACATTCTAAAAATTATGAATCTATGGTTAATATTTTAATTTGCAGCTTATTTTTGATCCTAGATAATTATAATCTCTATAGAATTTTACTTAATATATTTTTGTCAGCTCGTCTACTCTGAATATGACAAACACAAAGAGATGGTTCTTATGAACTGATTTTTATTCAGGAGATAGTAAATATCTGAAACTAAGAATAATCCAGAGGTACATGTTTGACATTTCCTTTGTAATGCCTCTTTTTCAGCCTCTCAAACCATACTCTATGGTTTCGATTGATGTGAAGTGTTATAAACTTCATGGGATTTCAGCTATTTATATTTTCTGGGCTTGATAGTATCTAATTCACTCACAAAGGCCCTAACCATGTAACCTTTCAATTACATGTAAACCACTATGATCAAGTATCAGAATATTTCCTGATTCCATTATGCATCACTTTTTACTTTCTTTGCTGTAACTATTTGTGAGTGTCCTTTCTTAAAAGTTACAACATTCTTTGAATCTAAGACTATTTCCTTTTGCTTGCATCTTCACATCAAGACATGTGATTTCGATAGTTGAATATATTTTACATATTTAATACTTGTTTGTAATGTTGTAATTGGCATACAGCCTGGCACATTTATGACAGTGATGATATGATCCACATATGTGTTCGTTTCTAACCAGAATTCTTTTTTTATAAAAATTTATATTACCTTACAAAAATATAAATACCTCAAGTTTCCCGCATCTTTAAAATGACTAAATACAGAGAAGCACTGATTGTCAGCCTTAACGATTTGGAACTTACACTTTTAACGGACAGTGTAACACTCTTAACTTGAAAATTTGTAAAATAGTATGAATATTTTAATCAGAATTAAAAAGCAACAACCTAGGTTGGAAATGCAGGATCAATGAATTCAGATAGATCACTGCGATTTTCAAAATCCCACACACTATCCACAATACTCTCATTCACAGGCCACAGGGTCTTTCATATCCATCTCTCTAACATGGCTCTGAGCACAACCTATGAGGCTGAAAAGTTTTAATATGCAAATTAGTCTTCCACGTTATCCCTTTGATTAATTCCATAGAATAATGGCATTTCTAAACACACAAGTATTTAAAAAGCTGAATCCATATCTTTGAAAAAGAGACCAAACATATCCACTGGAAGAAAGCCCCTTTAATAACTGTTGAAAAAACTGACTGTACACACTAAAGACTAAAACTAGACCCAAGTCTATGACCATGTGCTAAACTAAAGTCAAGATGGTTTAAAACAGTAACACTAAATATACTGGAAGAGAAAGTAGGTAGAAATCTTGAAGACACAGGTGTAGGATGAGAGATCCTGAACAAAGACCAAACTGCAGTGAAAGCATTTCAAAGAATCAACAACTGGGACCTCATCTTATTAAAAAGATTTGCACATCAAAAGATACCACCAGCAGAATGAAAAGGCATCCCACAGAGTGAGAAAATATTTATGACAGTTATTTTTCACACAAAGGACTAAACCTATA